ACTTACAGATAAAAGTCTGTCAATCAAATGCGCCAATCCGTGATGAAGGGATACCTTGCCGAAGCTACCGATCAGCTACCGTGATTTGGAGAAAACGAAATTCATACTTGCGTTCCTTTTCAGAGATTGAAAGAAATCTACCCTAAAGCGTTACGCCATGGTACATCTATTGATTGCCAACGAATGAGAGCTCTTTGTAATCTTAAAAACGACTTTGATGTGCAGATGTTTCAGGTCGATCACGTAGTCGTGAATATTGGGGAGAGAAACAGAGAGAGGGGAGGAGAGGAGAGGAGAGAGGGAGAGGGAGAGAGAGAGAGGGAGAGAGAGAGAGAGAAAGGGAGAGAGAGAGAGGGAGAGAGAGAGAAAGAAAGGGTGGTGGGAGGGGCAAACGGCAAAAACATTTTACATTCCGGGACTTTAAGCTCTGTGAATACTTTGTAACTTTTGTCTGATTTTGTAAATGTCACAGCGTCTGGAATATATTATTCATGGCACGAAATCTCTGCCTCTAACAAAACCTGTGTAATATTGATCCGATTCACCAGGATATGAATACGCGCGAGTGTCTTTTTTTAAAACATGTTGAATCGGAGAGGAATGGTGCAGCATGTTAAGATGAGCTCATTATGTTAATGACTTAATAATAATTGACAATTACAACATGATTAAACAAAATGGAAAAGCCATGTGATGTGATGTGATTTTCACTGCTGCCTGTATAATCTATTTCTGATTGATTGTGGAAGGCGATGATATGAATCTCGATGGCTTACTTTCAATCATCGGATAATCGCGTTGGGTCGGGTGATCGCGTTACCCGACCTTTTGGGAAAACATGCCCTTTTATTCACGGAATATCGGGGTTAATAATTATGCAAAATAAACCCCTCTCATCTGCAAATGGTCTGGTACAATTTAACCGATACTTTGTGAAAACCCTATAGCACATTTGAGAAAGGTCGCGTCATCTTCCACTTTTGTTTTTTCGAAAGTGTTTATACTATCCCACGCTTCAAACATCCAAAATCACTGTACATCTTTACCCTATCGGACACAATGATCCGATGGTTCGAAATAAGCCGGGATAGAGCTAATCAATGCCAAAAATGTGTTCGCATTTTACACACAGAGGCGATTTTGTGTCCAAACATGCCGTATAATCGGCATCATATCAAAAGTTTTGAACACACACTCTCAGTACATAACCCGTCAATATTTTTGGAAGTTCAAGTCGAATGGATTAAAGCCCTCTTCTGTAAACTGATACCATGTTTAGTATAACTTCGCAACCATGGATTGAGCAGTACATAAGAATAAGGGGCAGGGTCAAAAGCGAAAAGTTGCCAAATATACTGGTAAGCACTGCTATTGTTATGCAGATCACTCTTTATCAAATATCGTGACATATTAAGAGTGTAATTTTTGTTGTTCATGACAGTGAGGCTATTTTTCCCAACTGGTCATCCATGAATGCCAAATTCTAAAGAATCTGGAATTAAAATGTATGCACTATGGTGACATGTCAGGCAAGATTCGGAACTGATTGGTCATCAACTTTCTGAATCATCATGCCTAGGTTAATAACTGTTGAAAAAACCCGGGAAATAGGGCAATATGAATGCACAGTCGAACAAGAGCAGCGCATTTTCCAACTTCTTACTTTTTATTTTGCCCCTTTTTTTGATCGAGTGCACACTCCATGAATGAAAAGTCATTATAAATGGTGTATCATTTAACAAATTAATAAACCCGTTTTTTACCCAGACTAATCTAAGCGATGATTATGCCAGGACAAGAGATATTTAATTGATCATGCTTTCTAAACTTTTTTGAGGGTTTTCATGTATAAATCCAATATCTAGTAGCTTACATGCTTTATTTTTAGCGCCATATTTTTTTATTTTTTTTACAAATTTGGTCGATTTATCCGTCAACATAATTGGTTTTCAACAAATCATATAAGGCCGAATATAGGAATCATAATCAAAGAAATACAAAGTATTACGAAACCTACGTTCATTCGGTACACGCTTTCATGATGTTAAATATATATTTTTTTACAATATCATTACCTATGTTCATTTGTAAATGTTCAACCATGAAGTTGCTTTCATACTCAATGATGTTAATGTTGTTGTTGCTTTGTTTTTTAAAAGACCCTGATAAGATGAAAGATATGCACTCACACCAGTGCTGTGATACATTGCTTTTATATCATTGTGACAAATACCATTATTATGCATTCCCCTTGAGAAATGACAACAAAAACAACAACGCCACCACCACCACCACCACCACCACCACCACCATTATCATCATTATCATCATCATCAGCAGCAGCAGCATCAACTACCAAATGATGTCACTGATTAAAATCAAAATAGCTTCTTATTCATGAACCAGATCTGATAAGTCTCCGAGGAAGACACGCTGTATTCCAAATGTAGCCTACTCCTTTTATTAGCTGCATGCATTGATATAACTTATTGATTTGAGGTTACTGATGAATATTTATGAGTGACATGGTAGTCTTCAGGCGCCATCTCCATTTGAACACTCACAGTAACACGGCTGTAAAGACTTTCAAGTTTTCTACCGATAGGCAGTCTCCGTACCCTACTGTATTGCATGTATAACCACGTTTGGACTACGTCACTCCTCATTTCCACAGATATGATGTTCCTGTGCCACATTCTATTGACGGCATTCTGAAGTCTTTCGTAAGAAGATCTTACGATTTTTTGTGTATTTTGTCGGGTTTCAAACAAAGCGCTGCATAAATTGCATAAAATGTGTACGTTTACCTACCAGCACCTTACGAACGCCTTACAAACGCCAGGAGTCGTTCGTACGAAGGTTATACGAAGTTCCGTTCGAAAGGCGTTCTTAATGACGCCGTAAGAGCCCTTTATGAAGAACTTTAGGCGTTTTAACGATCATCGTAAGAAATTTGAAGCTTTTAGAATTGTCTCTAGAACCTACAAAATGTACGATGATCTTGCGTGGTTCTTACGATGTTATTACGATGTTCGTACGGCCGCCTTATAAAGAGAGGGTTTCGTACGAGGTTGAACAAAATCTTGGAAAAGACCATCGACCAGTCTGCGAACATACGAGCGATCTACGAACGGTCTACGAACGGTCTACGAACTCTGGTTTCGTACGGCCCTCTGATCAGTTCATAATGGTATTTGTGACCGAGGCTTTAGATCGAGTAAAAGATATACGGCATAGTTTACGTACAGAATGTGCACAAATTAAAAGAAGTGTGAAAAGCGATTTCTAAAAAATTATTTGAAAGAAAGGATAGAAATAATTAAGTAAAGCCTCGGTCACAAATGCCATTACGAACTGCTACGAACGCCGTACGAAAGATTTTCAGACAATGGAAATTCGGGAAGACAATGGAAAAACAGGGAGATTCGTACGAAATTATCGTTCGTACGAACCTTTGTGCCCGTAGCATAACAAAGGAAATAAACTCCAACAAAAATTCATAATATTTGATCAATACACTGGAAATATGCGCAAATGGAAGTAAATGTGCGTTCATATATTTGATTTTAATTATCACTTTTCATTGCACAGGTAAGCATGTATACAAAAATAAACACATTTTTTAAAAAGTATCTTTCGTTGGTATTCTGACCGTACATTGATCAAAATAATAGCAAGCCTCTTCTTCATGAAAGGCTATGTAATGTATAACATTAAGATTATGAACGAAACAAATGAACAAGTAATTTGGAAAGAAAGGGGGGGGGGGGACGTGAATTTAGTGTACATAATTTTACAATTGCCCTCCGGCAGTCAATAACCCATTAAAGTATGATTAGCAGCAATTGGATGACATACCAGAAAAATGAACTTACAGAGGCAGTTGCAATATAACAACTTTGTAGACATTTGAATCATCATGCAAAGCAATTCCTAATTTATTCAACGAAAACTGACAAAATAGCTAGGGGGCTGACGATTTTTTTTTCAAAGGATAACTAGGTAATTTACTTGTAATTCGTTATGCGTCTACCTTAGCAAGGCAAAGAACAATCATTGTTTATGGTAGATTCACATCGTTTGGTTAAGGAGGGGAGTGGGTAACGCCTGCTCCAATTAATTCAGAAGGTGGGGAAGAAAATTGTGAAATAATGATGTTCCGATCAAAAAGAGGGCGGCAAATAGGAAACAAAATTCCAAATAATTTTTCAAAATGGTTCCAGGAAGGAAACAAATTAAAAATTGCCAATTTATCGTCACATCTTGACGATGATACCTTTTTTGGCTCCAGTGATTAACATGTTAACATGCCAAACGACGCCCTGGGTGCGAAATAGGTAGTATGTATGTATGACCACTTCCTAAACCTTGAGGCGCGGCTTCGATATAAAGTCACACGTGCTCGAAATTAGCAATATTTGTCAGGCTGAGTAGTGTCAAGAGAAATTTTTTCAAAAAGTACTGTTAAAGATACTATGTCCCTTTTGCAGCTAACATCAAATTCTGAAGAACTTTGCAGGAACAATGAATATGTCATATATGTCCTATCTGGGAAATTTAGCCATTACCAACGGTCCTAGTATTCATATTGTGCAAAGAAACCCATTTACCTTCTAGACTTTACTATCAGACACTATTGAGTGACTGACTGACAGACTTGTTTTTTGTTGGTAATAACATAACATATAAAATGAGCTATAAAAGGTACATGAGCATTTGTCTACATCAATATTAAACCCTCTACTGATCGAATCTTTTTGCAGCACAAAACGTACGACCATTCGGTAGAAGGATCTAAAAATCAGACTATTACTTAGGTGATTGCAATCAATAAGTCGATTCGACAACCAATAGTCGTTATGTCACACTAAAAGCCATTTTCAAGCCCTTTCGTTTTAAGAGAAGTTCTAAATTAGTATTGTCCTTCAAATGCCGTTGGAATTTAACCTTTTCATTTTTTGGCCTGCAAATGGGACAAAGTACCTTTAAAGGAATGGGTCATAGAAGGTGCATCTATTTCTATTTTACAACAAATATAAACGTAATGTCAAATTTCACCCATAAAAATAAGCTGATTAAAGTTTTATCTGTCAACTACAATGATAGCGGACATATAAAATCCTTTCTGATATGCTCTGGACGAAGAGGTAAACTCGGATCAACCTTAACTACATATCTAAATTGTATAGTATTACATAATTGTTGTGTCTTGAGGGCCTATGTAAGAAGATTCCTCGACAAAATTCCTTGAAAGCTCGAAAGATGAGACTAAAGGATCACTTAATTATGTCCGTGTAATACGTCTCACTCTCTGTCTCGATGTATTATTGGTCGCTGAGAATTAGACCAAAAAAACTTCCAATGAGGGTTCCCTGTCGATATGCATTTCAAAAGAATAATCATAATAATCTAAAAGAATGTTTCCATGAAGTCCATTGAAATCGTAAAATCTAACAATGTATAGGACCGATACAACACTGACTTCCGCCACACTTCTTGAATGGCAGAAAAAGGAATAAGAAAGAAAATCCTGAGTTCCGATGTTCCTATCGTCAAAATACCCGAATGATATAGCAGAAAAAAGATGTACATAATCCAAAATGTATGAAATACCGAGAAATTCAAATACACGTTCACGAACCGCTAAAAGTTGATATTGATTAGATATTTCGTCGGTAAATTAAGAAATTGAACATCACATGCTCTGTCCTCTCATGTAGTTGATTTAATTTTTGAAATTCTATACATTGAAATCGTCTTTTGTTTCTAATATATACCCCATTATTTTTGTTTTGCCTGGCTCGAAATCAAGAGCGGCGAGATTGACAGGACACGAGACTGACCATGTCGGTCTTTTCAACCTTCTGAAATGATTTCTGAATGTTTACCAGGCCAACGGTCAGGGGGACTGACATTTCGATCCTGTGGGCATTGTGATAAATTATTCTGAGGGTTCACGAGACCAGTATAGTCAGTTTTATGAGCTGACGGCCTGATGGAATGCCAAAGTTTGTGTCTTTTTTATGCACTGTTTTTGGTTATTGGAATAGATAGTATTTGCACACGTTCATCAAATATAAATAAGCACAGCCCATCATATAGTTACTTTTTTTAAAAGTAACCGTCGATGCAATTGCTCCCGAATGACTAGTATTTTGCAAATATATATATATATATATCACAAATTGGTAGGCTTGAAACATGACCATATTACGTCTAACATTACGGATACGATGGCGTTATACAAAATGATATTAATGTGACAATTTCGATATGGATTAAGTCTTTTGAATAAACTATATGCTGTACAAATTGAGATTGTTTCTACTCTTCCCAGAAGGTCCAGAAAGGCACATGTTATATATAGGCCGCTAAAGACGCTTAACCATGCTCTGTAACGATGATGAATAAAGTATCAAAACGAGTTTATCCTGTGCTAGACGAACTTGTATCGGGTGCATTCAACTGCACCCGACGAAGGGTTCATAGGACCGCGTGCCCGTTGTGGACATGGCCGATTCTTTTGGCGGCCGCTAGTTGCACATGGACAGGGGTGTAGGTCCGCCTAGAACGACTGCTACATATCCGCTTCCACATGTTGTACCTTCTGGGTAGAAGGGTGTAGAGGAAAGGGTTGACGCAGGAGTTTAGGTAGGACAGGACCAATGTGACCAGTCCCATAATGTTATTGGAATCAAAGTTCACGTTTCTTAAGATGATGAGCTGGTAGGTCCAGAAAGGGATGTAACAAAGCCAGAAGATGAACACGATGACGAAGATGATTTGGGCCACCTTGCGTTTGGATCGCTTGGTCCGACGGTTGGCCGAATGTGCAGGACTGACCAGGTTGAGGAAATGGAACAGGAGGAGTACGTAAACCGTGGCGGTGATGACTGAAGGTATGAGGAATGTGATGAGAAAGATAGCGAGCATGTAGTTGGGCAGAGAGCGATCAGCATCCAGCGTCCATGTGCAGGAATACTTATCCCTATCCTCAACGTGTACCTCCGACATGTAAATAATCATGGGTAAAGTGACTACCAGACCTGTTAACCACACCGCCCCGCTGATCCGGCGGGCGAAGCCAACGCTCCGGTAGCGCAATGAAATCATCGGGTGCACCACCGCGACATATCGCTCGACACTCATAATAGTGAGAATAAAAGTACTCACGTGCATGGTTAAGATATCCTGTCCCAAAATAAGTCTGCAACCGATATCACCGAACATCCATCCATTTTGGTTATAGTTCGTTAGCGTATAAAACAGGCAGCCGAAGATATAGAGCAAATCCGAAAAGGCAACATTGACAATATAAGTATTGATTGTGTTGACACTCACGCTGCACGTTGGTCGGAATGTTAGCAGAATAACAATGCTGTTTCCAAAGACACCAACAACAAAGATACATAGAAATCCAGCGACTAGGAATGAATTGAACATGACATCATCCTCGAAGTCCAGAGATGAGCTGTTCAATAACGAACCGTTGCTCGACACGTTCGGCAGGGTGTACATCCATGAATCCGCCATGGTTTATCTGATAAGTTGTTGACCAAAAGTTAATGAAGTACGTTTCCTAAAGTTATTCCACTACAGAATTCGTCCAGGACACCCCGTTGGCAATCACACTTTCTGTCATCAATCGGATTTTTAAAAAACTACTCGTTTAGATTGAAAAAAAAAGTATCCAGGTGTATCCATCAAAGAAATTGAAACATGAATAGATATCAAGCGCTTTCTCCAAATGAAGCTGTGGAAACTTGATCTTTCAAGCACCAATCCTAAGACTGCACACGTCCAAAGTCCAGATGCGGATCCCCAAAAGACTGAGTAGTTTTACATCTAATGTAGATATCGATCAGAACCTCCGGCTAGTATTCATTATCCTCAAGGGGTGTAATTCGAATCCGCCACCGGTGAAATAGTAGAAGACGGCGATAGAAATGTTGTTGCTTTTTTTATTTCGTCAAATAATTACAGGGTAGTCCTGGCAGTCCCTTGATCGGAGATATTGTAAAGCCAATGCATGTCTAGAATACATACTTGATAATACACTTTCGGTTTTCCTCTTATGCTAATGTTCTCGATAAGTCAGAGCTAGTTCACTCACAGTTGAATATCAGTTGTCTTCAGTAGCTTGAATCCTTTGGTACTCCAAAATTTGAAAGCAGAGTAACGCAATATCTGTCCGATGAAGGATTCTGTTTTAGTCCAATAGAAATATCCGTTGTTAGGAGAAAAGTTTAGCGTTGAAAGTAGTCGCATATTTCCGTTTTAAAAAAGAAATGAGCATAGGCATCCCCTTTTCTATTTAACCTGAGCAACAAAAGTAGAGCATTTCCTGTTCAGTTCAGATGACGAATGCTCCTTGCGCTCTGAGGTTGCAGTGCTCTTGTTGTTTATAAACGTTGCATGTTCCGCAATTAAACTCTCTTTACGCCGAAGCTGGAGGGAAAACTTGCAGCCATCTCGAGCCGCTTAATCGCTATTCGTGACGCAAAAACAAGTGAAACACTGCTGCTGAACCGGTTAAAATCGATGCACTGAGAGCTGAAGCTCGGACAGTGGCACTTCAATCGCCCTCTAAAGTTACTCTGGCGCTAGGAGAATCGTGACACATTGGAGATGTTCGTTAAATTGACGGGAGATGCGTCCAATCACAACGAAGCACATCGTGATGAAACCAGCTTGAGTGCGCGATTTGGATGTATACGCACACCACACCCCAACTCGTTTTATTGTGACGGCTAGCTTTTACCCGGTGGCGTTGTTTAGAATAAGACGTGAAGGCGATGAGTAAAGTGTGCGAAAATTTCGTGTACACAAGAATGTGGAGCGCTTTGTTAATGCATGAGTGGCCATTGCGTATAATTAGTCTATTGACAAGCAGAGACGGTGTACGGGCACAAACTTATTGTTTGATATGTACGTGTGTTTTAGGTCAGGGGCGGATTTAGGGGGGGGGGGGGTCGGCGGTTTAACCCCCCCCCCCTGGTAAAGTAAAACTAGATTCGCCCTTGTTGATGGAATATGTTTTTAACATGCCATGGTGTAATGGTTTAATGGAGGAATTTCCGGACTATGGGTCACTAGGTACGGGGTTCAAATCCCCGCCGAAGCATTAATGTCTTTTGTCCAGAAATTAAGCTTCCTTTGCTACACTCAACCAAGACAAGAAAAGTAGGGAGATTGCCATAATTCAAACCTGGGTAAAAATATTTGAGCGGTACCAGTGTTTATTATCATGACAGACATGATCCTTAAAAACAGGAGCCCGCTATCATTATTATCATATGATTACAGCTCATTCTCTCTCTTAATTGAACTGGATCTCACAGCGACTGTTGTCAGTGGCGTAACGTGGGTTAGTAGTTGGGGGCATCATTCTTTTGCGCGAAGCCCTCTTGTGAATCATACTTTTACTCCTCTCTTAATTGGGTATCTTTGTCTCAGATTCTGAAACAAAATCCTGGATTTAGCTGATGCTGCAATGAAAATTATTAACCTTTAAGTCAGTCAAGAACCCCATGACTTTTACAAGCAAATTGCCTGTCTGATTATCAAGATATTTATGATTGTAAATCCAAATTTCACAATTCGTTTTCCTAACGTTTTTTTTATAACATTATAGTCTACTAGGGAAAGTGAGTATGGTAAAGCCGGTCACTCAAAGTTTTTTACTTTTTTGAGGCACTTCCTGATCGTTTTGGAGTGCGATTTTCGTATGAATCAATATCACACCATATCACAGACACTGATAACACGTAGGGCCATGCATCTCAGATTTAACATTGTTAAACGATGCCTTTATTAAAGGCATCGTTTAACAAAGACTAATAAAGATTAATAAAGACTAATCATGTTGTCCCCCCTTAACTAATTCACATATTATAATCTTTGAAGGGCGTTTTCGAGCCATCTACCTCCTTATATTATCTCACGTTCTTTTTTTCCTTTCCTCCATCACTCCTTCTCTCTCTCTTTCTCTCTATCTCTCTCTCTCTCTCTCACTTCATTTTTGATTGCTATTCGATGGGGGGGGGGGGGGAGGAGGTTCTACGCCACTGCCTGTCGTGGATGTAAAAAGGCTTTGATAATATAACAATTCCCCATCTTTATAGCTCTTTCTGCACTTTCATTTATTTAATCTGTCCTTCACATATTTCCCTCCCCCCTTTTTGGTTTCCTTTACTTTTCTAGTCGATCTCTCAATGAAACCCCCACTCTTGTTCTCACCACATTATTTCTCTTTTCATTCTCCTTCCTATTACTTTTTTCTTTATTTTATTCATGTTACCTCTAATTAGATTAAGCTTTGAAAACTTCTTTTTTAAACGAAGGTGATTGTGAAATGCCGTTTATTCACGAGTTATTCTCCCACTATGCCGTATTATTTACCATTTCAATACTAGAATGACGAATACTGACTTTTATTGAGTGTTTTGGGGGCAAATGTTTTGACTGTATGTGGTGAAAAAAGTAAAAAATTAGCCGGGTCTTAAAAATAAGCTTACATGAAAATAGTAAAAGTCGACATAATAGATTAGTTTTTTTTTATTCATGTCACATTTATCATTCCTGCATAATTGCTATTATTCCTTTCTTTTTAATTGGTAGTGCGAAAACGATAATTTTACTCAAAACGCTTTAAAAAAAAGTGAACCTACCTAGTTCCAGATTTTCCTGAGGTATTGTTATCCATTCAATGCTGATGAAGAATAAAGCCGTACAAATAAAATTCCACCCTCATGATGTATCAATAAGATATTTATTACATAGTCGTTTTGTCTCAAGGGACTTTTTTGTTTACCTAAAGATCGTCAGTAGGTATTCCTAAGAACTGGAAAAACGATATCCCGGGAACACCCTTGGCAGTTGTAATACGACTCTTGTCCAACTGCCTTCTTATGTTTTCTGTTGTTAACAGATGGGAGGAAAGACATAAATAACTTCTAGCATGGGATTCAGTTGTAATCTAGTAAAAAAAACAAGAATCTTTAATACCTGCCGATAAATAAATGAACTTGTAAAAACATCAACTACGAAAAAAGGGGAATTCCCACATTATTTTGGCTCGCAAAGCAAAAACACACGTCTTTAAAAAAGCTGATGCTGTGTCAAATTAATATCTGCTTTATCATCCTTAAATGTCTATGTTTTCATTTTTCCCCTTTGTTTCTTGCTTTAGTTGGGAAGTGCAATTTCTATTGCGTTTAGGTATATAGAGAAAGAGAGACACCGAGAGAGACCAAGAGAGAGAGAGAGAGAGAGAGAGATAGAGAGAATTGACACCGGGGATGTCGATGTCGTCATCAAAACAAAACCAGACCGACTTTTAGAATCTAGGGCCCTGCTGCATTAAACCTGATATCAATAAAAAGCTTTAATAACAGTTATAAGCTACTGAACTCACTTGTTATCGAAATTTAAAACCTGTTATTGATGATGAGTTTCGTAAACCAGGGCCCAGGATGCTTTTCGTTTCGGAAATAAAATCTAAGCGGGATTTTTGCTACAGAATCAGAGAGTATTTTCAAAGTCAAAACAACAAAGTTGTTAATACTTTTCTTTCTTACACTTACAGTGTTACAGGTAACATTGTTGAAGGGTAGTGACAAAACTGTGTAATTTGTGTATGAAATCTTACTTATTATATTCCTACTACCGTACTAACCGGATATCAAACAAAAATCCTGGACAAGTTCTCAAACCACAAAGATATTTTGTTTTCTATGAAGGCGTCACTGTGCGACAGCCTCTAACAGTAAATTCTCCCAGCCATGTTTTTGGATTTTCCCAACCATTTTCCATGAAAATAAGACATAAAGACAGGCTTTTAAAAATCTGTCAACACTTAAATGTTTGGAATGGTACAAATAGCCAGTTGATTGCCTAGTGAAGATTTACATTCATCTAAAATGTAATTGAATTATAATAATATAGTTGGGAGAATTCTGGAATCGATCACATCAGTTTTTCCCAGTTGTTATCATTGATAATGGCCTTTTTCACTCAAACTTTCAGATTTTCTTTAATTGTACATCTAGCATTGAAGTCTTTACCTAGGCACCATTTTCTCTCATCTGAACAATGTTACCAAATCCCTAGAATCATCCTGATGTGGCAACGCCTCTAAGAATGGGTATTTATCTATAATACTGCATCCCTAATCTACTGTTTTAAATGTATATAACTATTGCCTAAACGGGAATTTAAATGAAACTAATTTAACAAATTTCGTTGTAACGCCATCTATTTGTATTTAATTACTAATCAAACAATTATGACCCCATTGGTTTATTTGTACATCTAGATATGTAACCTCATGGCATGGCATGATGCCGAGTACGATCCACGGTAGATAGTTGCTAAGCAATCGGAAACAGATAGAATTGAGAAACGGGGGAGATTTCAGGGTGAAGTAATTTGATACTGACTGTATAAAGGTGGTAACAAAATGTAATCAAAGATGAACCAACCAACCCTCGCATAACAACGTCAGTACATGTTTTTCAAGAGAAGTAGAGATCATTTGCTCTTAATCTTGATGAAAAGATTGAATATCAGATTATAGTGTACGGTAGATAGTTGCTAAGCAATCGGAAACAGATAGAATTGAGAAACGGGGGAGATTTCAGGGTGAAGTAATTTGATACTGACTGTATAAAGGTGGTAACAAAATGTAATCAAAGATGAACCAACCTACCCTCGCATAATAACATCATTACATGTTTTTCGAGAGAAGTAGAGATTATTTGCTCTTAACCTTGATAAAAAGATTGAATATCAGATTAGAGTTTACTAAAATTAGATCGAGTTCGGCTCGTATGAAAGCAAGCGATAGGGAGCGAATTAATGAGGTGAACAATACCTCACGCCATATACATGTAGGTATCAATTTTCAATGACGTGCAGACATTGATTAACAATAGAAGGATTTATCATGGAAGTTATCTCTCTCGTACATCTTCTTCAAATTGCATGTATTTGTGTGTAATAATAATAATAATAAATCTGGATTTATACAGGGCTGAACACGAAATATCTTCTCTATATAAGTGCTTTACAGATTATTATAACCCCAGTCATCGGATTCAATCATGCACAGTGTTCACCAACTCCACTCCCTGCGAATTTTTTTACCTGGTCACTGTGAGGGCATATGGCAATTACTAACACAAAGTGATATTTTAGAATAAAAGCAGAAAATCGTTTGAAAACAAAATAAAATAAATAGGACTTTTAATGAAAATCTCACAATGGCAATTTTGTCAGTGGATTATGACGAAGTGATAGATAACTCCCTGTTTGTCCCGAACAAAAACTATCACTAAGTTCTATTTTCCTCTCAAGTGCCTTTTTCCCTTGGGGAAACTACTCAAAATACATTTTGGATAGAAAATTAGTACAGGTCCTCTAAAAAGAAAAAAACATTATGAGTCATACATTTTTTTTAAAAAAAAGCCTTTTCTGAAGAACCCATATCTGTATAGTGATTGCAACTTTCACAAATTTTTAACTTTCTCACTTTTTGACCAATTTAAGTCAAACTCTCATCGGTATGCCTCTTTGTTTTACTTTGCCATTTTTTCTAGAGTACTTTACTATCAAGGTAGGACTGTCCTTTAAGAAGGATTACAAAATACATTATTTGTTATGTTTTAAAGAATTATTCAAAGTGTCACTTCTACCTGCGGTTGTACAAAGCCCATTCAATGTACTTACGAAA